CCTTGGCAGTCTCAGAGCCCTCGGCGCTGGTCCAGTTGCGCAGCCGCTTCTCCGAGGCCGGGGAGCTGCCGTACACGGTGGACGCGTCCAGGAACGAGGTCAGCCCGTTCATCTGCTGGCGCGGGGTTGCCGAGGACACGTTGCCGAAGAAGGGGCCTTGGGTCCCGGTGCCGCAGGCGGCCGAGGAGCGGTAAAAGGGCAGACAGGCGGGGCCTGCAGCCGGCGAGGTGTTGGCCGGGAGCTGCAGAAGAGGACGTGGGGTCAGCTGGGGTCCTGGGGTCCTGGGCCCCCTCCTTAGAGACACTGGAAGCTCTGGGTGCATACGTCTGTGTTTTTATGTGTATGTGCACAGGTCATTTCCGGCAGGATGCAGCCACTTTCCCCTGGGAACAGGATGGGAACTGACTTATGTGTTTGATTTTTCACATGGCACCTGTTGGTTTCACAATAAAAATCAGGAAGTTTAAAGATGCTACCTGTATGGGAAAACACGGGCTCTGGTTCTCACAGGTCAGCTGGCAGTCCGCCCCTCCCCCGAAGGCGGCTTTGCTGGTGCTCTGGGGGGTGAAGGCCACGTCGTGGTCGATGTACTGTCCCCACGCCGTCAGGAGGTCAGAATGCTGGTCGTCCTCCGTAACGGCCTCGTTGGAAACTCGGATGACTTGCCTGGTCACCTCCCGGACCTGGGTGGGAGAGACCAGCGTCACGTAGGAGGCCGCCCCGCAGGGCCAGGGCCAGGGCCAGGGCACCCACGGGGCCTGCCGGTCACAGATCAGAGCTCGTGTGTGTTCACCAGTGCCAGTGCCATGGAAGGCCGGGTCCCTGGGGACGTCCGGGCTCTCCTCCCCGAGATGCAGTGGTCTGTGGTGATTTGGGGCCGCGTAGTTGATTTCCCTGAGCCTTAGTCTCCTCATTTGTAAACAGATACAAAAACGTTCGTCTTTCAGGGCTGTCGTGGGGATTGAACTGAGTCACCCAACAACGCTGCCTGTTGTCAGACTTAGGGGCGGAGCCTGGCCGGGGACGAGCCCTGAGCCAGCGGGCTATTCCCAGACCTGGAACCCCATGGAGCCGGCCTGGCCTGGCCGAGAGCCATTTCGGGTCACTGGCGTCCCTCTCCCGCGCCGCCCCCCACCCCGAGCCCGGCGTCTACAGCTCTCCTGTGCCCGTCCCACTACCGCATTTTGGGAGCAGACTTGTTTCCTGGCTTCACAGGCCCAAGTGGACGGGAGTCTTGCCCCAGGAGGCGTCACACCTAGAGGGTCCGTGCACCCGAGTCAGATTATTCAGATAATGAGATTTGAGACTCTGAAGAGGCGAGGTTTAGATCAGATTTGGGGTTTTGAGTTGATGCTGAGAACTTGGGGGGCCTTGGGACAGGCACGTGAAATGGGTGTGAATCTTCTGGGGGGACGGGTCAGAGAGTGGACTGGTGGGCAGAGTAATGGCCCCAAAGACGTCCATTCCCCAGCGCCTGGCACCTGGGAACACGGCACATGGCAAAGGGGACTTGGCAGATGCGGCTTCTTAAAGGACCTTGAGTCAGGGAGGTGATTCTCGATTTCCAGGTGGATCGGATCTAACCACGTGGGTCCTCAGTATCTGAGACCCTTTCTTGACTCAGAGGAGATGTGACTTTGGAACAAAGGCTCAGGGAGGCGCAGCCTCGCTGGCTGGCGGGGGAGGGCGTGGGCCAGGGAACGTGGGTGGCCACCCACTGGTGTATTCATTGACGCGAGCAATCAGACTGGGGACAAATGATCCGTTTTTTGACCCAGGTGATCAGTGGATTAGGCGTGAGTTCCTTTGACAAATAATTTGCCCCTGGGAGTAAGTGGCGCTTGTCAGCTTTGCATAAATGAGTCAATTAACTACAAGTGTCTTTGAACAAGGCCGGTCTTCTCCCTGTCAGCGAAGAGTGAAGAGAGTCAGAGGGAACTGAGTGTAACTCTGTCCGTCCCCTCTCTAGCCGCGTGGCTCTAACCCTGCAGAGCCTCAGCTCCTGAGCTGCAAGGTGGGGTGGTCTCTCCCCACCTGGAGGAGAGAGGAATTCGAGGGGCCCGGCGCAGGGCCCGCCCCCCTGAGTGAGGCCTCAGGAAAACATGGGCCCCCCAGGACTCGGGAGGTCTGCTACGTTAGGAAACACATCCCGTCCAGTCTCGGCAACGCTCTGTACTGACTGGCGGCAGCGGGAAGCCGTTGTATGAGAAGTGGGCATTCCAGCCTCTGGGCTCACTGACGCCATCCTCGTACGCAGGAGGCAGCCACCTGGCCAGGGCTGTGTTGGAGGCTCCCCACCTCGGGTGGTCTCTGTGGAGACAGGAGTGTGCATGAGTTTGAGGTGGGGAGGAAGGAGGAAGGAAGGGGCAGGCCCAGCGGAGTGGATCTGGCTTCCCCTGAAGAGGAAAGGCCTCGGCTTAAGGAGTAGTGTCTGGTGGGGACCACACACTGGGTGGTGCCCAGAGCTTTCCCTAGGGGTTAAGGGTGTGCGTGGTCTCCAGGGCACTGACTTGCAAAGCCCTCCTTCCACACGCCCTCTGTGCTCAGCACCTGGGTTCCAGGTGTCCCGCCCATGCGCTCCTAGGGAGCCGCTGAACCGTGAGGGTCAGTCAGCAAAGAGAGGAAGAGAGAAAGAGAGAAAGAAAGGAGGAAAAACTGCTCGAGCAGTCAAAGGAATGTTGCGTCACTTTAGTAACACTGCGTTAATTTTAACGAGTGAATCCGCAGCACTTTATGGAATTTCAGTGGAGATGAGCTGTCTGTAGCAGCCCTGCGCACTTCACGGCAGCACACGCCAGCCTCTGCAGGCTGACTTACCGTAGCTACGTAAACGCATTCCCGCCCCGCACAGTCGTGCAGATTGAGCCCCTTCGGTTGTGCTGGCGACCAGTGGGGTGTTACTAATAGAACTGCCCCTCTCACTGTCCCTACAGACGCACAGAGGCCACGTCACGCCCGCTGCTGCTCGCTGCTCCTGGCTGGCTCCGGGACAGGTGGCTGCTGGGGGGTGATGGTGACTGTAGCCTCTAGTGCAGAGATCAGGGCTGCCCCTGCCTTGTCAGTGGAATCTTGCCTTAAACAAGAGCTTAGAAACAGTGCTCAGGAGTGCAGGGTTCCTTTCCGTCTTAGGCAGAACATCTGAATCAGTCGCATTTACGTAAGACTGATGGGTGGGTGTAATGTCCCAAATCATGCTAATAATTACATGTCAAAACAAACCAACTAATTTTTCAATATTTATATTTGCAAACACTTTAAAAGTTTAAACATCATTTAGCTGTCACGGTTCTGGTAGACTCCCCTCCCCAGATGTTCTGAGTGTCTGCACATCAGATGCATGAGAGAGTGTTAGAAAGATTTCAGTCTTTTCCAGTTCAAATAATTTTGTCTCATGGCCTCGGAACCCAGCATGCTGGCTCCTGTCCAACTGCAAACACCTGGCCTCGCCGCATTCTTTCTGGAAGATTTGGCGACCCCCAACTCCTGTTGTTGCCACGTGGACTTGTGGACGAAGGCCAAGGGGACTTGGACACTGTGACAACTTTGCACCCCAATCATCTATTCTTAAAAAACAACATTTTTTTCTCTAACAGAAAATTCCTTGTTTCTTTTCTCTGAGCTAACGTTCCCATTGTAATTTGTCTGATCATTTTGTTTTCAGATGTAGCATTTTTAGTGATTGAAAGTCTTATTTTCTCCTTGTACATGTTCCTTTGCTTGTCCCTGTGAACTGCAGGTGTTTTAGCCCTGCATGTTACACATGCCTTCTATTCAGTTAGTTATTCTGGACACGTACGTACTCCATCATCTCCGTGTATATTTACACATCCGTACGTGGTTTGCACAAAGATCAGTCACCCCTCAACGGTCTCTCATTTTCTCACTGCGGAAAAGGCTTCTGGGATGTAGTGAACGATTCTTATTTACACCCGTCCCTTCTCGTAGAGGCACCTTCCTGACACAACATGCTCAGAAGTCACTTGTAAAACTGAGATGCTGTTAGACGCAGCTTCGCCTCGTCACGCGCTGTGTGTTTTTGCCCAAGTGTGTTGTGGCCAGAGACTGAAACTGCAGACTGGCCCGTCTGTGGGCAGCACCCCGTGTGCCCCGTCCAGTCTCACTGCCGGACCCGCCAGCCCAACAACTCACTTTCTCTCAGAAAAAGCTTGACTTACTTTGACTTCAAGCAAATGTATTAACACAGCCGTCTCACTTCTGAATTTAGGGCATCTCAGCAAGTCCCAAAGACCCACTTGCCAGCAGAAACGCTGTCCTGGAATGAATGTGCATGACAGGAGGGGCATCCCACTCAGACGGCCGTCTGTCGTCTCGAGGACGGAACGTTGGGCCCCGCAGTGTCTCAAGGGGGTTCTTTGCCAGGGGCCCTTCGCCAGGGGCCCCCAGGCTCTGTGCACACTGAGGGGCCGTTTGTAGAGCCGGCAAAGAAAGCAGGCCTCAGGTGGCTGAAAGTCTGCTTTGAGGTCTTTCCATGACCCCTGGGCGTGTGCACATTTGAGCCTGGTGCGGGCAGCTCTGAGCCAACAGGTCTGAGCCTGCCGAGGAGAAGCTGGGGACCTGGGGGCCACGCTCCACATCCCTCTTTGGCTCGTTTATGAAACGGTGAGGCCTCAAAGCAGTGTCACTACAGTTTTCTGAGTAGCTGTGTTACGTTTTGGGCAGGAAAAATTAAAGCGTGACGCCTGCTGGCCCTTTGGGCCCAGTTGCTGTAAATACTGTGACGCAAGATGTAACTGCCAGCACAGAAGGAGAGAGACGGACGCACAGCACAGAAGGAGAGAGGCGGACCCACGCTCCCACCCAGCCTCCCTGGACCATTGTCCCCACAGCCAGTCGCCAGGGGAGACTTTGCTGCCCCCGGTGGGAGTGCAGTGACCAGGGCACAGGCCACACGGGCAGCAGGGCCTGGAGCAGTGGGCAGAGAAGGCCGCTGACCCCGACCCACTGGGGCCTGGTCCTGACGCCCGTGACACCGCCCTCGCCACTCAGTACCGCTTCCCGGGAACTTCCCAGCGGGTGTGCATGGCGCAGGGCGCGCAGGGCGAGCCGGGCCTGGAGTTGGCTGGGGTCACCTGGAGCGCCTCGGGGCTGCCTGAATGGACTGACACTCTGGAAGGAGCGACCAGGGTGTGAGGAGGCCTGAGTCGGGGGAGGAGAGGTGGAAGGCAAACCCCGGAAAAAGAAGTGGAGGAAGGCTGGTACGACCCAGGGAAACGCAGGAACTTCTGTGAGCGACGTCAGGGTGGAGGTGGCTGGGTGGCTGGCAAACTGAAGACTTTTCAAATCTAACCCTTACGGAAGACACGCACGGCAGTGCTAGGAACGCGGGCATGAGGGAGCGGTCGGGCCGCGTCTTACCGTGATGGTGTTTAGGAAGGCTGGAGCCAATACGGCGCACCTTCTGTGATGAAGCCGCAGACGACTCCAGAGGCCCCTCCCAATGGCCCCCGTCGCCCCACAGCCCCTGTCACCCCACAGCGCCCGTTGCCCCACGGCCCCTGTCGCCCCTCGGCGCCCTCGCCCCACGGCCCCTGTCGCCCCACGCGCCCATCGCCCTACAGCCCGCCCCCGGGGGATGGCCCCGGGTACCTGTTGGTGCAGGCCCCCGTGATCAGCCTGTATTTGTTTGCCAGGCAGGTGTCGGGACACTGCGGGGGCAGCAGGTGAGGCAGGCAGCCCGACAGGTTTGCAATCGTGTTCAGCAGGGCTTCTGACAAAACATCTGCAGGGAGGCACCAGAGGTCAGCTCTCTGCGGTGACGACAGCCCAGCCTGGTCAGGGGCCGCTCTGCCCTGGTCTAGGCAGCGGCCCCCACAGCTGAGACCAGGGTTCACACGAGTCCTTGTCTCTCTCGGCAGGGAGCTCCTCCTTCCCTTTAAATCAGTAAAATCAAAGGGGAGGCCTTGCGTGCCCCCCCGCCGCGCGTCCCCACGGCTAGGAATGTGGGCTAAAAAATTAATTTCTGCTTTGCGATCTTTCAGAAGAGCGCGTCTGAGAGCTCTGGCCCGAGACCAGCCCTTCTCAGAGCCCCCTTGGCGCATCCCCGGGCAGCCAGGCCCCAGGAGACATACGATAGCATTTATGCCCCTGCAAACCCGCCTCGGCCGCTTCCCTGACCGTGCCCTCTGTCCACCCACAAACCCTTCTTCCCTCCCTGTTGGTCTTTGGTTCTTTCCTGTGAACCTTTCCAGTTTAGGGCCCAGAAAATGGCCTCTTTCATTTTTTGCCAACTCTGCCACTTTTATTCTGCAAGTTGAAGCAAGAACAGCTTTCTTGGGGGCGCCGTCTGTCTCCCTGCGACTCGCTGCCTCCCCCATAAACGCGTTTCCCAGGTTTTAACCAGGCTGGTGAGGAGGCCGCGGAAGACTCCCTAAGCTGCTCTGTGCCACGGAAGGCGCTGAGCGTGGGTTGTCGAGCTGGTTCTCCGAGCCCAGTTCAGATAGCAGAGAAGCAGAGATTTCTCAGACTCAGAGAAACGGAGCACCGTGGCTGCTGACCAGCATCTCAGAGAACCACTGCGTTTGTCCACGGACGCGGAGATGCGACGGCCTGGTGGGAGGGCCCCGGGGCTCTCACCTGTCCAGGGCCCCGACGGACCACGCCGCAGGTGAGCCCTCTTCATCTCCTGGATCGACGTCTCCATGACCTCCGCTGCCCGGGCCGCGGCTCGGCTGGTGGGCTCGGGGAGTTTGGAAAAGGACAGGAGCTGGGACGCGGAGGGGGCTTCCCTTCTGTGCAGGTTTCTGGGCAGGAAGAGGAGATGTGAGGTCAGTGACTCTCGCTGGTGATTACTCGCTGATCAGTTACACAGACCCTCACTGAGAACCTGCTGTTACAGGCCGGTGGGGAATTCAAGCGCGGAGCTGATACAGACCCCTCCCCATCCACAGGGGTCGCAGGGCTCGGTGAAGGGGACGGGGCAAGGCTGTAGATAATCCAATGATGAATGTCCAAGAGAATGACCAGCGTTTGCCCGTTACAGACCCCCTTATGCAAACTTGTTTGATTCTCATAAGGGCTGTCAAGGATAAACCTTCTCGTCAAAACCCAGGTAGACGTTTGTGTGCAGCAGGCGGCACGGGGCTCAGAGCAGAACCAGCGTGCGCTGGGCTGTGAGCCGGCCTTGTCCACGCCCGGCAGGGAAGCAGCTCACGGCCCAGCAGGACAGGCACGCAGCCGTTTGCGGTGAGAGCCGGAAGTCCCCCGGGAGAGCGCGAGCCAGCCCTCGGGTCCCCCTCTCCCTCGGCGTCCCGCTGTCTTCTGACATGGGTCCCAGGCCTGCTGGGATCCGGCAGCCCCCACCTCGGGACCAACCCCGGCATTTCAGGGCCGGGGGTGCCTGGCGGGGCAGGGCGGAGGTAGCCTCTGCAACGAAGCTGCCATCACCTGGGGCCCCTGCGGGGCGGAACCAGCAAGGCACAGGAGCCCATCCGAGAACGATCTCTAACTCCAACCTGAGACCCGCCAGGGCAGTGCTCAGGGGCTGGACCCCCACCCACGGCCACTTAGATTCCTGGTTCACCGCCCTGCGGGCTTGGGGGGCTGCCCGTTCGTGCCCCCGTTGCTCTGGCTCTGATCAGAGGGTCCTCTGTGATTCCCTTTGTCAACAACTTCTGGACACCCAGCGCTCGCTGAGGTGGGTGCTGGGGTGGGGGTGTGCGGGCGTCTCACCCACGTGACGTCACACCTCCAGCTGGTCCCCGTGAGAGGCTCAGCAGGTGGACTGCCACGAGGCCCACTTACAGCAGAGGGGACCGATGCATCGGGGGGACCGCCAGTGCCTGAGGCAGCAGCATTAAGATGCCGAGGTGGCCCACAGCCCGTCCCTCAGAGCCAGCTAATGTCCACAGAGGTGTGTGCAACAGAGAGCTGAGAACACACGAAAGCTGTGTTTGCCAGGCTGTTTCTGAAGACATGCTGAGTCAGAGACAGAGACGGGGAGAGACAGAGACGAAAGAGACAGAGACAGGGAGAGACAGAGTCAGAGACAGAGACGGGGAGAGACAGAGACAGGGAGAGACAGAGACGGGGAGAGACAGAGACAGAGAGACAGAGACAGAGAGAAAGACAGAGATAGGGAGGGACAGGGAGAGACAGAGAAACAGAGAGAAAGGAAGAGAAGGAGAAGGAAGATGGAGCAGGAAGAAGGGAGAGTGAGCAGAAAGTCAAGGGAAGGACCAAAGCTGGTTCCTTAGCAACCAACCAACCGCAGCACTTTTGACCCACTGCAGTGTGTTCATCCCTAAGCTGAGTGCAATATGTGTCTCTCTTTGCAGGAGGAACGTGAACTTCTGGAGAAAGATGGATACGTTACATTCTTTCCGTCCCAGGGTCTGGCGCAGCCTGGCAGACGGACAAACAGGATTTCTTGCTGAAGCGAGTGCAGTTTAAGTAGGTGTCGGGGTGTCATTTGAGAGTTATCAAAAAGCAGACCCTTCCAACAGAACATCCCCAGTGGCTTCCACAAGCAGCGGCCACTGTCAGCCCTCTTGGCTGCGGGGCAGCGTGACCGTGACTGCGCTCTGACCCCATTCCCGTGTCTTCGTGGGTGTCACAGACCTGGACGCACTCTGCTCTGACTTCATGGGAAATGCATTTTCTCCTTCGTTCCTCTTTGACTGAAGTTTTTGTAAAACAAGTTAAAAAAAGTAGTTTGCAGCCCGTAGGGAGAACAGGGAGTTTCTCCGGTGGAAGTAACAGAAATTTGGGATAAATCAACCGCTGGCTGGTGCGGTTTTGAATTTCGAGAGCTTATGTAATTACCCCTCAACTTCCAACAGAACCACACACTTGTGAAGGTGAAACCTGCTTTTCAGATTTTAGTATGTTTGTTGTGTTTGTTTCATAAGCGTCTAATGTGAGACCGGAACGCCCTCACTACGGGTGTCACTTTCTTATGTGAAGTCCAGGTGCTCCGCGATGATTTCGGGACAGCGGGCAGAGCTAATTCCCAGGCAGCATTGCAGCCCGGACGCTGGGGCCGTGGTCCGACTCCCCACCCCTCCTGGGTCTGCGGCCAGGTCTGGAGCAGCGAGGCTCACTCCTCTGTCTTTTGAACCAGGGTGCATTGGGCCCGCTAGACCGCTGCCACTGTTTTGCTGGGGAAGTAATTTGAGATTGCATTCTGGGATCTTTCAGCTGCTTGCACGTGATGCCAGAAAACGTGAATGAACTCGTGTGAGTCTCAGCTCCTAATCTATAAAATGGGGCCAGTTTTGGAGGGAACCGTGGAGGTGGCAGTAGGCACATGGGCGAAGATGCCCGGGGACTGGCGTGCCTGGAGTGGGGGCGGGGGCCCCCTCCACCCTCCCCCTCCGGCCCGGACGGCACCTTCTCATCGTGTGGTACATGGCCTCATCCACCACGAGCTTGCTGGCCTCCACGATGCGGGCAACACGTGCCTCTTCAGTGTCTCCTACAGGGTGAAACATCACGTGATCAAACACACAGTAAAGCCATTCCCTGTCTCCCTGGGTCCCCTCCACGTCCAGCTGGCATAGTGACAGCCATACGACTTCGGGGGCCAGTTCCATCCCTGCGTCCTGGAGGGGTGACCCCGTCAGCCTCCGTTCTCCATCTTCAAGGGGCGTTGGTGTCCCCATAGGGCGGGGTGAGGAAGGGACCCAACCCCGGCCTCACCTCCTGCAAGGTCGGCTCCACTGCCCCTGCACCTCGCTTGCCCAGACCACCTCCAGTGACTCTAAATCACCTGAAAACTGGAAACTCTGAGTATTTTAGCAATCTAGGCCAGGGTTAGAAAGTATGATAATTACTAGTTGCCTGTTTTAACTTGTGCAATTAACAAGGGATAAGTTATTCATATACCCCAGCAGCTTCCAGTGCAAAGCCTCACATTTTATCTTACTTTTCAGTGTGTGGGGTGTTCAATTAAAGTGCTGTCGTTGGAGGGCTGGTGTTTCCCCAAAGTCCACAGGCTGCGCTCCTGGTGCTCAGTGCGGGGCTGTTGGGGGCAGGGCCACTGGCCATGAGGAGGTCCTGAGGGTGGAGCCCAAGGTGGGACCATGACCTTAGGAAACAGACCCCAGAGAGCGCCCGCCCTCCTCCACGTGAACACACCGCGGGAGAGGGCCATCTCTGCACTGGGGACGCTGCTCCGGCCCTCGTGTGCTGGGCCTCGCTCTTGGCCTTCCAGCCTCCAGACTGCGAGAGGCAGGCATCTGTTGTCTGTCTGGCCCCCGTCCGTGTCTCTGCGGTGGCCGCCCAAGTGGACTAGCAGTAATTTAAGGTTCCTTTTGGGGCTGAACTGTGAGGTTCCAAATGAATGCTATGAAGCAGGCAGGTCCTTCCAGTGACACGCAAGCAACTGGTCACTGAATTAGCTTTTGTACGCTCCATACTTTACCAAGGGACACGCGCTTATTTCTAAAAATAAACAGCATCAGAACATTCTTGAACATTATGCATCTGTGTAGAAATAAGACCGTTTTTAAAAAGGTGAATTTCAGAATTCCTAGAATTACGCCGGCGGAGTGCGTCCCAGAAAACGTGTTAGTTTCCTGAGTAAACTTAGGAAGGTGAAGTTACCTGCTAGCTTCTGCCCGAAGGCTTAATGAAAACTTTCACTGCAAGAAGAAACAAAGGGGCGC